TGCGGCACTTCCTTTTCCTCTGTGCGGACCGAGCCTGGCTTGTTCAGCCACTTTTTGTCCTCTGGGGGTTTGATTTCCTTCCATGTTATTGCTATTATGTGTTACATAGTGATGAACTAGCCAGGACACATTGTTACTTAGTCCCCTGGGTCGCTTCCTGCTTCTGTAATCCTCCTTCACTGTTGACATTTCTATTGATTTTTAGCCAAACTCTGAGGTTCACAAACTATGGCCACCCACCTGTTTTTCTAAATAAAGTTTTATTGGAATACCTGTTTGTTTACATGTTATCTGGGACTGCTTCAGCTATGGGGGCAGAACTGAGAAGCTGAATAGCCGAGTGACAGAGACTACAGATGGCCCCTGTGAGAGCAGAAAAAGCAACTGTTTTTCCTCTGTTCTCACACTACAACAATCAACAGAGAAGACTTTTTTTTTTTTTTTTTTTTTTTGAGACAGAGTCTCACTCTGTCACTCGGGTTAGAGTGCTGTGGTGCAATGTTAGCTCACTGCAACCTCCGCCTCCCAGGTTCAAGAGATTCTCCCTCTTCAGCTGCCAGAGTAGTTGGAATTATAGGCAGCTGCCATCATGTCCAGCTAATTTTTGTATTTTCAGTCAAGACAGAGTTTCACCATGTTGGCCAGGCTGGTCTCAAACTCCTGATCTCAGGTAATTTGCCCACCTCAGCCTCCCAAAGTGCTGAGATTATAAGGGTGAGCCAACTCGGCTGGCCACAGAAGACTTCTATGGCCAAATGTGTGTGGATTTTTTCCCAAGCACCAAGCAGTGGACACCAGCAGGGCATCCCCCAATTCCACTGTGATGCCATCTACCTGAAGATAGCCTCAGGTCACATGAATTGAGGGCTCAGTCCCCAGGACTGTCCCTTCCTTCTCACCAGTCACAAGTCCAGGCCTCCAGAACTTCTGATAGACCAGCTTCAAACTGGGGTCCCCACGACCTGCTCTTTGGGTTTAATTAATTTGCTAGAGTGGCTCACAGAACTCAGGGAAACTTGCTGACGTCTACCAGTTTAAGACAAAGGCTCCTTTAAAGGATACAGGTAAACGGCCAGATGAGACGCACGTGGTGAGGTCTGGAAGGGTCCTTGAGCCTGTCCCCATAGGGTTGGGGCATGCCACCCTCCCAGAACGTGGATCAGTTCTTGTTCACCTTCCTATAAACCTCCATGTGTTCAGCTATCTGGAAGCTCTCTGAGCTTTTTTTTCTTTTTTTTTTAGACAGGATCTCACTCTGTCACCAAGGCTGGAGTACACTATACTTGGCTCACTGCAACCTCCGCCTCAAGTGTTCAGGCGGTTCCTGCCTCAGCCTCCTAAGTGAGCTGAGATTACTGGCCTGTGCCACCACATGCAGCTAATTTTTGAATTTTAGTCGAGAAAGGGTTTCCCTATGTTGGTCAGGCTGGTCTCGAACTCCTAACCTCAAGTGATCCACCCACCTCAGCCTCCCAAAATGTTGGGATTAGGGGCATGAACCACCGGGCCTGGCCCTCTTGAGCCTTTGATGGGGACTTCGTTGGGTAGGCATGACTGAGTGTAGAAATGTGATTGAATGAAAAGGGGATGGTCTGACACTAATAGGCTGAGTGGAGAACCCCAGTGAGGCTGTCTGTTCAGTCTTCTCCACCTCTCTGTGCTGCATTCCTTCCTTCAGGGTATTGGGCGGGACCTTTCTGAAATGAGAATTCTCAAGACCCACAATCAGAAAAGCAGGGGTGCTCATCAAAGCTTCTCCAAAAACGTACATCTGAGCTTTATTTGAAAAAAATTATTCAATCACGGAAAAGAGGTCTCCAGAAATATTAAGAAAAAAAACAAAAGCGAGGGCACAGTGGCTCACACCTGTAATCCCAACACTTTGGGAGGCCGAGGCGGGTGGATCATGAGGTCAAGAGATCGAGAACATCCTGGTCAACATGGTGAAACCCTGTCTCTACTAAAAATACAAAAAATTAGCTGGGCATGGTGGCTCGTGCCTGTAATCCCAGCTACTCAGGAGACTGAGGCAGGAGAATTGCCTGAACCCAGGTGGCGGAGGTTGCGGTGAGCCTCGATCGCGCCATGCACTCCAACCTGGGTAACAAGAGCGAAACTCTGTCTCAAAAAAAAGAAAGTAATTGTACAACAACTCATGGTTTTTAAATTATGCCTTTGTTTTCCTAAGCATGCATGTAGGTATACAGGTATAGATCTGGACATCAGCCAATGGCTGGACATGGTGGCTAACACCTGGAATACCAGCACTTTGGGAGGCCAAGGCAAGAAGACAGCTGGAGCCCAGGAGTTTAAGACCAATCTAGGCAACATGGCAAGACCTCATCTCTACAAAAATTATAAAAATTACCTGAGCATGGTGGCGTGGGCTTGTAGTCCCAGCTACTTAGGAGGCTGAGGCAGGAGGATCGCATGAGCCCAGGAGGTTGAGGCTGAGGTGAGCTACAATTGCACCACTGCACTCCAGCCTTGGAAATAGAGTGAGACTCCATCTCAAAAAAAAAAAAAAAAAAAAAATTTAGACATCAGCCAAACTGCTGACATGAAAGGAGAGGTTTACACTTTATTTTCCAGCAAGCACATATTCACACTACTTTTATAAGACTTTTCAGCTGTGTCTGTGAACAAAAGCTATTTAGAGCACATATGCAAAAAAGTTGGGTCAGCAAAAGCAGCTTAGGGGTTAAGAGCGTCTTCCCTGGGGTAAAAGTGTCCCCAGCTGGCTCAGTTGATGGCTTTGTGACCTCAGGCAAGCTGTGGCTTGTTTGTCCAGAGTAGCTGTTCCATTTGGATTTGTACCTAGAGGGAGGAGGATAGGGGTGCTGCTGAACCCCCTGCAATGAGCAGGACAGCTCCCCCACTTGTCAAGAGCAATGTGGAGAAGCCCTGTTCTAGAACAAGGGGCCCACCTGGAAGAGCTGAGAACTCACATTGTGTAATGCACTTAGCACGGGCCCTGGCACATATCAAGTGCTTAATAAATAGAAACTATGTTTATTACTGGACCTCCTCAAAATTAAAAAAAGATGTTGAGACTATGGAGGAAGTAGTTGTGCCAGGAAGCAATTCTGCTGAATCCCAATTCCAGCAGCTGGCTGGAAGGATCTCTGACCTTCTCCATAGCAACAATGGACTTCACCGGGTGTGTGTCTGCCAAAGGGATGGCTATACCAAGCTCCCAATTCCTCCTGTTGCGTTTTTCTGGTTTGAATCTCATCTCCTGCCAGTAGTTCAGGGACATTCCCACCAAATCACCTGGTGTCTTATACATATTCAGCTGTCTTCCTCTCTCAGACATTCCCCGTCTTCAGAAAAAACACACTCAAACTTCTCTGGTGCGAAAACCAAAACCCGGACTCCATCTCAGCCCCCAGCCCCCAGCCCCCAGCCTCAAATGCTTCCTGCAGTCCTGACCTTCTCTTTCTACCCCTTTCCAGGAAATCCAAGAGACGTCCACACTCTGCTATCTCCTCCTTCCACCACATCGGGTCAGCAAAATCAGTCGTGCCACATTTCCAACACCTGCCCATTGCCATGTCACTGTTTCTCCCTGCCTCTCTTTTGTGTCCTTGTGTCGCTTGTCTGCTGCATTCAACACTGTTGACCACTCTCCCTCCTGGCCTGCTCGGCCTCCCACCCCCCTCCTGCCTGCTCACTCATCCTCCTTTTCTCAATCTGCAGAAGCTGGGCCAAGGTCGCCGCCTTCTCCCACTCTGTGCTTTTTGTTCTCAATCCCCCATCAGTCTCATCCACTGCTGGGTCCTCACTAACCTCCTCCACCCAGAGACTCCCCAGTCCACCCATGGCCCCCATCCTGCCATCTCTGCCAAGTTGTCTCAAAACTCCCTGAACTCAACAGTCACAACTGATCTCATATCTGCCCCACTAATCTGGTCTGACTCCAGTGCCCCCGTCTCAGGGAATGGCCCTGTCATCAGTGCAAGTGGGAAGCCAGCAGCTTAGGTGGCGTCTTCCATGCCAATCACCGCTGGCAGGTCCTGGGGGCATGACCTCAGCATCTCCCAGTCTCCCCTCCTCCATCGTCCCTGCACCCACCTGGCTCCCTCCTGCTTCTGTATCACCACCCGTTCTCCCTGCAGCCAGAGATGTCTCTTACACAGTTGCTATGGAATCCGAATCGCATCACACAGCCCTACCTGCTGAAAACTCTCCAATCCATTGCTCAAAGGATGAAATGCAAACTCCTCACCCTGGCCTGCAAAGCCCTACACTGCAAGGCCCAGGCCCATCTCCCAAGCCTGGCGGTCCCTGTGCACCCCCTGCCCTCCACTCCAGCCACACTGGCTTCCTCCCTGTCCTGCAGCTGTGCAGCCATGTTCCTTGTCTCCCCTAGCTCACCCGCTCCCACCTTCCCTACATTCCCACTGGATGCCTGCCCTTCCATGCACTCATCACCCACAGCTTCCTCTTCTGGAGCATGTACTGAGGATACAATTTTAGTCATAACTGCCAGTGAACCATGAGCTTAACGAGGCCACCCATCCTTATTTTCTCTATTATTGTGTCCCCAGCATCTGACACTATTAATACTGTGAGTGGCAAACATTCAACACATAGAAGTCATGATAACAATCTCTGAGCAGAATCAGGCAGGTAAACCCTGACTGATCCCAGAGAACCTTCTGGAATCAAACTCCATCAACCCTCACCATCCCCTTCACCCCCAAGTTCCCTTCCTCAAGTGTCTTATTCAACTTTATTGGTACCCCTGGGTGATTAGTGAAAGAAAACCTGTGTGGGCGTTCCCTGGCAGCACCCTGGGAGCAGTGCTTCTGTCACACTACGCAGTTGTTCACTCAGCCCACCCAAGTGCAACATGGGTCAGGCAGTATTTACCCCAGCAAGACCCAGAGCTCAGCTGACCTGCCTGAAGTTGAACTCCTGTAGGAAAGGAAAGGAAAAAGGAAAGACCCCACCCAAGGAGCCCACCTGTCCTAGACAAAAAGAAACCACCACCAAGGTTTGGTTCTTGAATATGTATTTTTTACTGAAAAAATCAGTCATAAATTAACTTACAAAAATGTACAAACACATGAGTAAATAATGTAATGACAAAGGACTATTTTTTGTGAAAAGTTTTTTTAAAACATCTTAAGATTTCAGTGCAAAAATGTACCCCTGGCACCTCTTAAAACATAAGAGCGAGCTCAAAAACACGTAGTGATGGAAATAAGCTAGCTATGCTCAAAGCTATTGTCAATGGTGGTGGATACAATCAATCCTTGTGGCTGCTGCTCAGCTATTCATGTCTGTGGTAGAGGATCTCTGACAACAGGACCTATTATGTCAAACTGAGTATTCTTGCAAGTACCCCCTTTCCCCCAGAAACAGCATCAACAGGGACACCTTTCCCGGCACACAGCAATCAAAGACAAGATTAATTTAAGGGGCCACCCATCAGTAGCCATAAAGATTTTCAGCTGTCAACATATGCACAAGGTCACATTTGGTTCCTGTTTTTTTTTTTAAATGACAATTCCATGCTATTACGTTTTTAACTATGACATTTCCCATATAATATTCAAGACCCGGTGGACGCATGACAATTATATTCAGAGATTCCACACTCATCAGACGGACTTGTGACCGCAAGGGTATCGATGTGACCCTACTTTAAGCAGTGAAAAGAGACCCTTTCCCTTTTGTTCTCAAATCAGTATTTAAAAGTCAGGTGTTAGTCTTTTGCCAACAGTGTGTACTTGATGGTAATTATGGTAATGTAGAGCTTCAAACAACACTGCCGCCTGTAACTCAGAATCAGTCTGTACTGGCAAATCCTTCCAAATGACATCACAGTGTCGTCACAATGAAAGCAACTCACAGCCTTCAGTGAGGAAAAGAGAGAGGAGAATGAGAAGGGGAGAAAAGCTGAGGCAGGGACAAAGGCCTGGTGGGGGTGGGGTTGCACAGTAGAGGGCAAAATTGGGTTAGGGGTTCTTTATTGCTATATGCACCCTAAAACAAAGGAAAACCAAATGAACCTCTGGGTGTAATGTTCCCTTCTGAAGGTAATTTAAAGCATGAAATGCTTAAAAGTTTAAAAAAACATAGGCTATAGCTTACCAGCATTTTCAAGGGCAGGAGCCTGCTCTCTCATATGAGCCGATAAGAGCTTTGCAATGCAATTTATTTTCTAAATACCACTGTATTCTTCAAAAGAAAATACAAACATGAAAACAAGTCCTGTCCAATCACTCCCAGTTTGCGGGGATCATATGTCCACAGAACCATCACATACAACACAAAAGCCCTAACCCACACGTATACACACACACACACACACACCCCTACACACACCCATGTAAACCATGAAAATCAAGGAAGTTGAAGGCAAACAAGGCAATTAAAATTAATACAAAGTACTCTTCAGAAAGTACTCTTCACCACAATATATAAATATGTTGTATGGAAAAGAAAGGGGGGGAGGGAAACTGGCATTTTCCAGATTTCTGCAGAAGCGGACAGGGACTACAAATTGAGGGCTTTGGTTCGGGGGAAAAACAAAGAGGCACAAATTCAAATACAATTTAAAATATGACTTCAGGCTGGGCATGATGGCTCACACCTCCCGTAATCCCAGTACTTTGGAAGTCAAGGTGGGTGGATTGCTTGAGTCTAGTAGTTTGAGAGAAGCCGGGGCAACACGGCGAAACCCCATCTCCACTAAAAATACAAAACATTAGCCAGGTATGGGGGTGTGCACCTGTAGTCCCAGCTACATGGAAGGCTGAGGTGGGAAAATGGCTTGAGCCCGGGAGATGGAGGCTTCAGTGAACTGTGATGGTGCTGATGTACTCCAGCCCAGGTGACAGAGCCAGACCCTGTCTTCAAAAAAAAAAATATATATATATGACTTCAAAATGCAGGTGGGGGTGTAACCAGCGCACCTGGGCTCTTGCCATCTGGAGCTTTGTTGGTCTAATTTCAAAGCTTCCATCCGGTCTTTCCTGGATCCCAGCTGCCCCACAGCACACAAGTGTCACCGGCTCCCTGGCTGAATTCTTTCCTACTCCAGTGCTCCTTGTTCTCTGTATCAGTTACTAATGTTGACAAAGAATCTTTCCAGAAACCAAAAAGGGAAACAGAGGAATCACTGAAGCCAGCTGGTAATGTAGGCACATTGTTCAGAAACTGTGGCCAAGTTTCCACAGAGAAAAAAGGGGGGGAGGGATTCCCATACAACCCCCCTCCCAAACCACATGCTGATCAAAGGACGAAACATGAAGCCTGGAGAGCCAGGGATGTGTGTGCAGCGAGCCCCGGAGGGCCTGCTTCGGGCAGGAAGCAGCCTGCTCTAATAGCAGCCTCCCGCTTAGCGGAGAGTGGGATGAGCGGGAACGTGGCCAACAGGGAAGAGTGAATCCAGAGCAGAAGTCAAGGACAAGACTCATGGGGAGAAAGAAAGGGGCAGAAGCCAGCTCCCGGCAATAAAGGTCGGGTTATTTTGATCTTTTGTGACGTGCCCTATATCCACTCCCTTCCCCAGGTGACAGCCATTCGGGAGATGACATCCTCCAACTGCATTTTAACTGAGTTCCTGCACTTGCCAACCAAATAAATGGTCTAATATATAAACCCTAGGTTTGAACTGGAGCCACCTAGAAATTAAATTTTAAAAAGGCATTTTACATGGCTTATTTACAATTATACTTCAAGAACTGATTGTTATATATTTATGTCTATTTATCTTTCCCAAACACCCTCCCCTCCACCCTCAATCCCCACCCAAAGGTAATTTTTTTAAAAAAATGAAACCAAAGACAGCACCAGAAATATAGAAGAATGGTGTGGAGTGTCATTTGCTCTTCCTAAAACACAGCTGCCCTGTGCTGGGTTTGCCTCTGCTCTGAAGGCCAAGAGGCTGCAAGGTCACACACATAGGGACAGGCTCCACGGCAGGACCACAGCAGATCACAGTTCATCATGGGTTCTGGAGACTGTGGCTAAGACAGGATGTGGGGTTGGAGACAGGGAGAGAGCAGCGGGACAGCCCTCTGTCTTGTGAAAATACAAAGCCAGTGCTGACGAAGGAAGTCCCCAAGCTCACTCCCTCGGTCCCAGCAGCTGATCCAGTGAAGACGTTTGTGCGTGTGCGGTCACATTTTCCCCCAAACCCTGTGATCCTTCATGAGACACTGTATTTCTGTTCTCTTCCTGTGTAGGACCCCCACCCCCGCCAAAAAAAAATCTCATCAGACTGCTTTCTTGCTGGCGGTGGGTAAAGCAAACATACATTCTCTCCTCTCAGTACTCGTTCACCTGAGCCAGCTCGGGTGTCAGGTTGACAGTTATGTTTTTATACAAGGCGTCATATGTGATGTTTGTAAAGTAGTTCAGGTTGTTGAGGCCATCACGCCCTTGCCATTCTTTTGACTTCCTTAGCAGAGCGTACCTGTTTAGGGCCAGAACAGAGAAGAGATGGCTCTGAGTGAGGATCCACACCTCTGCAGTCAGACGATGCAGCCAACGGCAGCCCTTCCGTGTCACGAGGCAGGCACATGGCCACTCTGCTATGCCAGGCTGAGTGCAGTTATTAGAATCACCTCCTGTGTTTCATGCCAGGTGCTTTACTTACTTCATTTAATGCCACCCAGCCCCTGCTAGCAAATGAGAAAACGCTTAGTCATGTTAGGTAACTTGGCCAAGGTCAGAAAGTAGGGAAGTGGAAGGGACAACATTAAAAATACAACAGATGAGAAAGTTCATACTCTGTATTCAGTGCCATTTTACTCCCATGAAAACAGAATTTCAGCAATTAGAATTGGTTGTCTGGAGCACAGTCTTTCCCACAATTTAAAAAAGACCAAAACCAAAAAGGTAACGCAGCAACTGCAACCACACAGACAGAAGCTCAGAACACCCGTTCAGAATGGGAGCCTAAAGAAAGGGGTCGGCTGCTCTGTCACCTCAGGGACTTTTATCCTAGTTGTTTCTTCTCAAACTCTCCAAAGGCTACTGAGGAGACCACAATGCTGAAGACATAGAATGAGTGATTTCCTTAAAATAATCTTACTGTTGACATTTTCACCAATGGTCTGATCCCCCTACTGGTCTGACTCAGAGTTAAAATACATGCAAGCACTGTCAAACAGCTGTCAGAACAGGGCCCTGGAGAGGGGAAGAGGAGGAGGGATTGTAATATGCTCTAAGACATCTGGACATGAAAGTATAGGGGCTATTTTCAAGAGACATAAATAAATTGCAACGACCTTCCAAGAAACTGGACTTCTCCTCGATGGTGATGAGACAGAGTGAGAGACTCTGCCTCCAACAAGAAAAGATAAGTTCTTCAGGGAAAAGATGTGAATGAAGATGACAGGTGATAGGGCAAAAAAATTCACTGATCCTGAAATATTTTTAAAAGAATTACATCAAATTTGTGTTGAGTCCAAGAACAGTGTAAAATATCACATATTGTTAAATTTGTTATGAATATACTAATAAAAATAAATTATACAGTCAACGTGAACTTTATTGAAGATTATTCACCAAAATAATGTTCTCAAGGGAAGTCTCTGTACCCAAAACAGACAAGTCATCCATCTTACCTCAATGACATAATTCTCCAAAGACTTGACATCTTTAAGAGCTTCTGGGTCTTGATGGATAACCACAATTTCTTTCAAACGATACTAGGAGGAAAAGGGAGGGGAAAGGTCACTCAGCAGCCAGTCCTCTAAACTGCAGAAAAATGAATATTAAATGTTTATTTGAATCTCAAGCTCTAGACTAGTCAGGCTGGACTAGTACTAAGTCATTCACACCCTCACTGCAGAAAAGAAAAAAGGCCATTGCTGGAAGCTCTCTATATTAAGAAAACACCCCAAAGACTTAAATATTTAGGTCGGTGCCATGTCAAATACAAGTAAAATTTCAAACATTTATGGGAATAGTTTTGCAGTCTCTGATCACTCATTCACGTTCAATCACAGACTGCATCCGAGGTACTGCACTCTGTTTCCTTATCAATCAATTCTTCTCTGAATGGTAGAGGTAGGAATATGAAAGAGATTAGATTGGGCCAGGCGCGGTGGCTCAACCCTGTAGTCCCAGCACTCTGTGAGGCCAAGGCGGGTGGATCACGAGGTCAAGAGATCGAGACCATCCTCCTGGTCAACAAGGTGAAACCCCGTCTCTACTAAAAATACAAAACTTAGGTGGGCATGCTGGCACGCGCCTGTAGTCCCAGCTACTTGGGAGGCTGAGGCAGGAGAATTGCGTGAACCCAGGAGGCGGAGGTTGTGGTGAGCCGAGATCGTGCAATTGCACTCCAGCCTGGGTAACAACAGCGAAACTCCGTCTCAAAAACAAATAGATACATGTATATGTGTATCTTTCACCGAAAAAAACCTGAAAGCATTTGCAGACAGCAAAAATAGCTTCCTTATCCTTTTGTTTGTATAATATATCTCTGGAAAGAGGAATCGGAACACTCGTTTGTTACAGGAAAGAAAATGTTGTGGACAGGTAAAGAGTGGGAGGAAGACCAGTCACTGCCGATTCCACTGTGCACAATTTGAATTTGGAACCATACAAAATATTGCTTGGTTAAATTAAAATCATTTAAAAGATAAAAACTAAACATTTAATACCAGCACATATGCTGGGAAACAAAATGAAAGGCTTTCTGGCCGCACAGCCACTCTTTGCCAGACTCAGGCTTTCTAGTAAAGGGTTTCTGCCTGAACCAGGCAGAGGATCCAGATGTGGATCATCTGACAAACACAAGGGTTCTTAGGAAGTGTGCTAAATTGCGTTCAGGACCTGTAGCCCCTGTTGAGATTCATCGAGAGTGGGAAAGAGCCCAAGTGGGAAGGAGCATGGGTTGAGGGACACAAAAGTAGGTCTGTTGACAAAGAATGGAAGTAAAGGGGACAGCAGGTTGAAGTTTTGTGCTGTGAGCCAGAGGGACGACTTAAAAGTTGCCTAAAGAGGTATACACAGTCTGGCTGCTGCCCTCCGGCTGGAAGAGAACCTCAGTTCTTGCCTATTGGCTGGAGTCCTTCACACAATGTCCCCCTCCCCCTCTGCAGAATGTCTGGGGTCCTATGTTCTAAACCTACTCATTTTCCTCAGTTCTACCTGAACTGAGGAGAATCTGTTGAGGCAGGCCACTCTCTGGGTCCTGCCCTTGACTTTTTCTCACTGTGAAAATTGTCAGACAGCCTGAGGGGATGGCTTCAAATGGAGGTGAGTCTGTAGGGAGAGGGGCATCATCCAAGTCTCTGTCATGTTTCAAATCCTTGGGAATTCAAATTTCACACAGCCCCAGGGGACAGTTGGTAGGGCTAGTGTCCAGGAGGGAGGGAGGGAGGACGGCTCCTTGGAGGTGGACCAAGATGCCTGGGGGAATACACCATATAGGGGAAAGGATGGAGTGGATGTACTGATTCTTTCTAGAGGGGGACAGGTCATGTCACCGTGTGTTTGTAGGGAGTGGTGGGATCTGGGATTGTGTTGTACTGGTGGCCAAGCGAGGATGACAAGCAAGCCTGTGAGCCCTGTACTGTGTCTTCAGGCACCCAGAAGGTGCCCTTCCATAGTGTTCAGAGGGATTTGGACTGGAGTTTTCTGGATCTCAGGGAGGAGTGGGGAGAAGTGGTCTCGGCCAGAAAACCGCTGGGTGTGTTGGCTGTGACAGAGCGTGCAGTGACAGCCTCTGGGTGGGTGAGGCTGGGGCCACTGTAACTGCCGCAGCCTCTCAGCTCCCTCCCTAGAGGCGGCTTCTCTGTCAGTTCAGGTGGCTGTTGGCTTTAACGGGGTGGCGGAAGTTGGGGAAGTTCAGGCAACACGGCCTGGGCTTCCCAGGTTGTTCTGAATTGTGCGTCCTTTGGGGAAACTCAGGTCTTCAGACCCACTTCCTCTTGTCTGCTAGCTCATGGCCTGTCCTCTGCACTTTGTGTTTCCTTTTCAGATGAGGAAGGAGAGTACCGCACAAATAGGAAGAGGGTCCTCTTATTATTACTATTTAATTAGGATGTGTGTCCTGACTGAGGAGGTGCATGTGCTGTATCCCTATCCCCCTTGACTGGAGACTGCATGAGGTCCTAGTGAACAGGGATGAGCTCCAGACAACTTTGCCACACCGGGCCTCTGGCCCAAGAACCTCTGGTTCTTGGTTGCTTACTTTATTCAGTCACTTGCAGCTCAAAGGAAAAGGACCAGAGATGGGCTCCTTGTCCCACGACCTACTGTAACATGACCCGCAGCTGTGAAAATCCCCGGACACCTCCCCTGACAGCCCCACTGCTCACCGCTTGCTGGCTGTGCTCTCATCGTGTGCCGCTGCCGCTGCCGCTGTTGCTGGCTACGCAATGACAGCATCTCAGGGAACTCCACCACTGCTTCTCAGACCTGCTGCCTGGGAACAGAGCTTCCCCAGTGGCAGCCAGGACCACTGAGCACTGAGCAAAGTGTAGCCTGACTCTGACCCATGTTTAGCACTTGAACACTGGGTGTGATACGTATGGGCTATCTTCAGGGTCCACGGGGTGCTGGCTTGGGAGAGATTTCTATCCAGTGGTTGTGTTTCACTGTTTCTTTTTCAAGATGGAGTCTTCTTCTCTCGCCCGGCTAGAATGCAGTAGTGCAATCTTGGCTAACTGCCAGGCTCTCTAGCGAAGCGACCCTCCTCTCCAGTGGAGAAGGAACAGAGCATGCGAGGCACACTTGGGGACACTTGCAAGCTGCAGAGTTTCCCTGTCACACGCCCTCAGCTGTAGGACACCCCTCTGATTCCCCAGTGACTAGGGCAGACCTGGAGACCCCAGTTCATTCACCTCTTTCCTTTGTCTTCACAGCATGCCCAGTGCTGGAACCAGCTGTGACCGAGAACCCTGGAGCCTCCATGCCAGTGTTCACGGCTCTGTCCTTCGCCACACCTGCTCCCGGCCCAGCACATGAGCTGCCCCTCGTGACTGCAGTGGTTCCTCCAAGTGGCCCTCCAGTGCTGTCTGCCCTCCCCAGGACCCCCCTGGTGGCAGGACAGGATGGCCGCGGCCCAAACTGGACTGGGGCTTCCAACATCTTTGGCCAGATGATGACAGCAATGGGGCCTGTGAAGGCCCCTCCGGCCCCCCTGGTCTGGCAGGCTCCAGGTGCCATCTGTGAGGGCGTCGCATGTCCACCTCCCCGACCCCTGGCAGCTGCCCCTGTGGTGCCTGCTATGGCTGCCCACATCGTTGGGGGCACCCAGGCCTGCGAGGGAGGCTGGTCCCAGGGCCTTCCTCCTCCAGCACCACCACCGGCTCCCCAGCTGGCCCCCATCATGGCCCCAGGAAATGCTTGTCCAGGGCCACAAGGGGCTCACGGAGAGGGCAGCCAGGTTCCCTCCCAGGCCAAGGCCCATCCGGACGACTCCTGCAACCCCAAGAGCGTGTATGACAACTTCCAACTCTGGCAGCACTACAGGCCCCTGGCCCGGAGGCACCTTCCCCAGAGTCCGGACACGGAAGCGCTTTCCTGTTTCTTCATGTGAGTGTCTTCGGGGCCCTGGACTCATCCTGCAGCTCACCCATACAAGAGGCTGCCGGATGGACGGGAGGTCACGCTCTTCAGGGGATCTTGTGGCGCGGTCTGGAAAGCGACGGGCTGAGCTACGGAAGGGCACATTTTCAGCAACATTCATCTGGCTGCCACTCAGGACACACTCTCAGGGGCCTCACCTCACCTGCCCCTCACTGTCCCATGAGTCCAGCCAATCCTTTCTTACTGGGCAGGTATCTGCAGCTTTGCCCTTGATCCCTTCTAGAAAAAGGGACAATGATGCTTCATTGAGGATGGTGAAGAAGTGACTTGAGCTCACATATGACGGATGCATTTGGCACAGTGCCCAGCACATGCTGTGACACATTACATGACATTTGTTATGATTACCGACCCCCCCATTACTATCATTATCAGGCCTAGGCCATCTAGGACAGCGCTCTCCAAAGCCACCGGCTCCAGTGATGGCTCTGAGCGCACCACGAGCCCAGCAGCCCAGGGCCGTGGACTGTGGTGACTGAGGCAGCAATGCCAGCATCTCAGAGTTTGTTGATTCAGTCCCAGTCCTCCCTCTCTCCATCCTGCAGTGCCTCTGTGACCCTGTGTCCCCCACGATGAGCAAACCCATACTCCACGGGAGCTTGAGCACACCCACCAGACAACACATTGGCCACTCCCCTAGGCAAGTCCCCTGCCCAGGGTGTAGGTGTAAGGAGGCCCCATCTGTGTCCCAAAAAATCTTGCCCCCCTGCATCCTGGAACTGCTTGCATTCTCCCTTGGAGCTGAGTCCAGGTGCACTGGGGACCCTGATTCTCGGAGTAGAGTTGCTCCAGGCTCACAGGCTTGGCGTGGAGTGGGCTTCCATGCAGCTCTACTTTGGTTCTGGTTTCTGCTCCTCTCCAGGACCCTGAGGCTGAGTCCCCAGGGGCTGCCTTGCTCCAGAGTCCCCAGGAAGCTGCTTAAATGCTCAGTCCTGGGGCCTGGAACCTGCACATTAACCCTCGCTCCCCGGTCATTCTGTGTGTGTGCTGTCTCAGACAGTTCGGGCTCTACCAAAACAAGTCCTATAGACTGGGTGCTTTACCAGGACACACTCACGTCTCCCAGTTCCAGAGGCCGGAAGTCCCAGATCAAGGCGACAGCAGA